CTCAACCTTGAAACTGTCGTCATGTTTGGACCACTTAGGCTTTCGGAGGATGTCTCAAGCGGGAGTCTCGCCTGTGAGTGAATTGCGCGGAAGGCTCAGGCGGGAGCCCCCTCCCTGCAGGGCCCGCAGCTCATGTTATCAACCCGAGCGGGTCATCTTCAAACTTGTTCGAGCGGGAGCCTCGTCGGTGAGTGAAATCCTAGGAAGTCTCAGGCGGCAGCCCCTCCCTATGGGGCTCATGTTACTAACCCGAGCGGGTTATCCTCAAACCTGTAATTGTCGTCACGTTGGGGCTCTTCAGGCTTGAATATGGAGGCAGTCTCAAGCGGGTGCCTCGTCTGTAAGTAGAATTGAGAGGAAGGCTTACGTAGGTTCGCAGCTCATGTTATCAATCCGAGAGGGTCATCCTCAAACCTCTATTTGTCGTCACTTGTAGGCCCGTCCCTGTTACACTTGACTATGGAGGAAGTCTCGAGCTGGAGCCTCGTCGGTGAGTGCATTGCCTGGAAGTCTCAGGCTGGAGCCCCCATCCTACGGGGCCTGCAGCTCATGCTGCTGATCCCAGCGGGTCATCCTCAAACTTGTAACGGTCGTGAGTCTCAGGTGGGAGCCTCGCTTGTGAGTGAATTGCGTTGAGGCTCTGGGGGGATTCCCCCCCTGTAGGGCCCGCACCTCACGTTACTAGGGTCATCCTCAAATTTGTAGCCGTCGTCGATTTGGGGGTCCTCCAGCCTGAACGTTGAGGAAGTCTCAAGCGGGCGCCTCGTGTTTGCGAGGAAGTCTCAGTCGGGAGCCCCGCCCGCAGCTCATGTCAATATTCCGAGCGGGTCTTCCTCACATATGTAATCGTCGTCATGTCTGGATTCCTCAATTTTTTTATTATGGAGAGGAGGTCTCGAGCGGGAGCCTCGTCGGCAGCTTATGTTATTAATCCCAGCGGGCCATCCTCAAACTTGTAACTGTCGTCACTTTGGGGCTCCTCCGGCCTGAACACTGAGGAAGTCTCAAGCAGGAGCCTCGTCGGTCTCAGGCGGGGGCCCCCTCCCTATGAGGCCCGCAGCTAATGTTACTAATCCGAGCGGGTCATCCTCAAACCTCTAACTGTTGCCACTGTTGGGCTCTTGAGGCCTGTCTGTGGAGGAAGTCTCGAGTGGAACCCTCGTCTGTGAGCGAATCGCGCGGACATCTCGAACGGAAGCCCCTCCCTGCAGGGTCCGCACCTCCGTGTTCGGGTCCGAGCGAGCGCGAGGAAGTCTCGGGCGGGAGCCATTCCGTACGGGGCCCGCAGTTCATGTTCGAGCCCGGGTGGCTCATCCAACCCCTGCAGCGGCCGTTACGGCGTGGCGATCTGGCCATCGGAGGGGGAGGAGGCAGGAGGACGAGAAGGAGGAGGGCAGGGGGCAGGAGGACGAGAAGGAGGCAGGAGGACGAGAAGGAGGCAGGAAGACGAGAAGGACGAGAAGGAGGCATGGCAGGGGGCGGGAAGGGGGCCTCCGCCGGGGCGAAAGGGAGAAGGGCGGTGAGGAGACGCGAACAGTGCCTCTGCACTCGCAAGGGCGACGAGGAGATGTTCTTCCAGATTTGGTTGGGAGGTCACCGTCTGGTGTCCTACCGTCGGAGCAATTTCATATTCTGGCGCGTTACCTGGGCCAATCCATCCTCCTCCTCCTCTCCCTCCCCTCCTCCTCCTCCCGCCTCCTCCTACTCTCTCCTCTTCCTCCTCCCTCCTCCTCCCTCCTCCTCCCTCCTCCTCCCTCCTCCTCCCTCCTCCTCCCTCCTCCTCCCTCCCCCTCATCTCCTCCTCCCTCCTCCTCCTCCTCCTCGCCTTCTCCTCCTCATCCCTCGTCCCTTTTTCTCCTCCTCCTCCCTCCTCCCTTTTTCTCCTCTCCCTCCTTTTCCCCACGCTGAACGGTACCGAGCGTACGCCTGGTGGGGTCTGTTGGGGCTGACAGGCGCCCCGCCCTTGCTCGCAGGACACCCTGCCCTGCGCGCGCTCGCAGGTGTTGCGCAGGTGCCCATGCTCACGCAAGCGTTTTCGGTATACCTCGGGCCCCCCCCTCTGAGGGGAAAGGCGGGAGAGCAGGGAGAGGAGGAGGAGGAGGAGGAGGAGGAGGAGGAGGAGGAGGAGGAGGAGGAGGAGGAGGAGGAGGAGGAGGAGGAGGAGGAGGAGGAGGAGGAGGAGGAGGAGGAGGAGGAGGAGGAGGAGGAGGAGGAGGGAGGAGGAGGAGGAGGGAGGAGGAGGAGGAGGAGGAGGAGGAGGAGGAGGGAGGAGGAGGAGAGGAGGAGGAGGAGGAGGAGGAGGCGGAGGAGGAGGAGGAGGAGGAGGAGGAGGAGGAGGGAGGAGGAGGAGGAGGAGGAGGAGGAGGAGGAGGAGGAGGAGGAGGAGGAGGAGGAGGAGGAGGAGGAGGAGGAGCAGGCATAGCGGGAGGACGACGAGGAGCAGGAGGAGGAGCCGGAGGAGGAGTGGGAGCAGGAGGCGGCGTAGGGCGAAGGGCAGCGGGAGGCGGGGACAAGGGACCCCCCCTGCCCCGGCTGTGCTCCGGAGGCGGGCGGCGCCGCGGAGGCCGCCGGGCGGGGCGAGGAGTGCGGCGCCGCCGTGGCCCGCGGCGCCCGCCGCGGGGAGGCGTTCGCGGGGGGGCCGTCCGGGCGACGGCGGCGCGGGCGAGGGCGAAGACGACGAGGGCGACGCAAACGGGCATGAGGAGGAGGAGGAGGAGGAGGAGGAGGAGAAGGAGGAGGAGGAGGAGAAGGAGGAGGAGGATGAGAAGGAGGAGGAGGAGGAGGTGGAGGAGGAGGAATAATAATAATAATACCAATAATATCAATAAAGATGAGAAGCAGAAGCATACGAATAAGCATAATAATAGGAATAATAAGGCGAATACGAATACTAATAGAAATAAGAATACGAAGAGGAGGATGAGGAGGAGGAGAGAGGGGAGGAAGAGGAGGAGGAGGATTACCGTCATGAGCCCAGAGTGCAATACGGCATCCCGTCCCAAGTCCTATCCTCATTCGTCCGTGCACCCGCTCTTCCTCTACATGAGAGGCGCTCCGCTTGGAAGACGAGTGCCCCTGGTGGGCCCTTCATTCCGGAGGGCGCCTCGTGTTGACAAGGAGTTGCTTTTGTACCCTTCCGGCGAGTGGCACCGAATACGTACAGGTAGGACCACGATCTTCCACGACCGTCATCGTCATCTCCAACGTCGTCGTCGTCGTCGTCGTTCTCGTCGCCGTCGTCGTCATTGTCGTCGTCGTCGTCAGACCAGTGTCTTCAACGATGTGGCCAGCGAAAGCCCAGTCTTGAAAAGGAACCGCCTCCCATCCGTTCCATGGTTGCACATGTTTCCACCTCGGGTCGCCTCCCCCCGCGGCCGCCCCCGTCCTTCCTCCTCCCCCCTGCTGCATGCCGGCCAACTCGCTTTGTGTAGTGAACCTGCATCGCTACCACGCTGGAGCGGATTGCCCCGCCTCGCCGCCGACGAAAAGGAAGTTGCCATTTCGGGCCATGCCGATGGGGGAAGCCCAAGTTCGGGTGCCACAATGCAGTCGCCGCGGCCGAGCCCATGGCTGCGCTGTGGTGCATGCTGCACGAGAGCGCGCGTGTATCCAGTCGTTGTGAAACGATGCAGTTCCTGTTCACGCAAACGACACCATCTGTCTCATTTTTGTGTGTTGAAAGTTGCGGTTTGCTTTGACGTGTGTCGCCGGACTCATTCAGTGCGTGTGAAGCTTAGGCATGTTTGAACCGTCGATACGGTTTCACGTTTTCATTGGCCAAGCTTCATGCGACTGTTTCGGCATCCGAAACTTACAAACAACCCATGCCGACGAGGTCGCTTACACTTCCCCTCTCCTTGGGCCTCCTCATTCCTTTTCACCCTCCTCGTCTGCCACGTCTTCCCTTTCAGGCAGGGTAAGAAGAGTATTGTAGTGGCCTTCGGCCAGTGCCGCCGATCCGGGTCGCTCGGGGTTATTCTCCAGACGCAGAAATTATGGGCGCACACTCAAACGCACACACACAGTCACACCACTTAACCTGCGCCGCAGACATGCGCACACAGCATCACCCACACACACATACTAGTTGGGAAACGCTCCTGTAGTACTAGTAGTAGTTAGTAGTAGTAGTAGTAGTAGTAGTAGTAGTAGCAGTAGTAGTAGTAGTAGTAGTAGTAGTAGTGGTAGTAGTAGTAGTAGTAGTGGTTGTGGTAGTAGTGGTAGTAGTAGTAGAGGCCTCGTTCCGCGGCTTCTCTCGACTTCCCGCGGTCTCTCTCAAGTTTCGAGCACGCGGTGAGTTTCACGATATATGTGTGTGTATGTACGCGTGCATGCATGTATGCATGCATTGATCATGTGTGCCTGTGTGTAGGTACGTATGTATGTATGTATGCTTGTGCGCGTATGTATGTATTTAGTTTGTATGTATGTTTGTATGTGTGTATGATAATATGTGTGTATGTGTGTGAATGTAAGTATGTATGTCTGGAAGATTGTTTTTCTATGTATGCAAATGTGTTTAAATGTAGGTATGTATGCATGTGTGTATGGATGTGCGTTTGAAGAGCGAGGATGTTTCAAAGAAGAGGCACTCGGTGACGCGATCGTTGAGGGATAGGAGTGAGGTCGCAGAGGAGGAGGAGGAGAATGAGGAAGAGGCGATAACTTGAAGGAAAACGATGAGACGGAGGACATCCTGCCGGTGGCGCCCTGGGCGGTGCCGCGGAAGAAACCGGGGGCCTGCCGGAGGCAGTCTGGAGGCCTCTGGGGAGCTGTTTTGGGGCCTCTTGGAACCTCTTTTGGGCCTCTTGTGGGCTTCTTGGGGCCCCTTGGGGGTCTCTTGGGGCCTCCTGGGGGCCTCTTGGGGCGGAAAGCTCGGTTCTTTCGGTTCGTGGTCCCCCTCTTGGGCCCCTCTTGGGGCTCTCTTGGGGCCTTCTTGGGCTGTCCAGAGGCCCTCTTGGGCCGTCTTGGGGCCCTCTTGGGCCGTCTTGGGGCTCTCTTGGGCCGTGTTGGAAGCATCGTGGGCCGTCTTGGGACGGACTTGGGGGCCTCTTGGGCCGTCTTCGAGCGTCGGACGCCCGAAAAGGCAAGAACGCTAAAAACCCTGAGAAAACCAATGAAAATCAACGATTCTGGCCTCTTGGGGCCCTCTTGGGAGGCCTCTTGGAAGCTTCTTGGGGCGTCTTGGAGACACCTTGGGCCGTCTGGAGGCCATCTCGGGCGTCTTGGAGCGATTTTTCGGCGACTCGGGGCCCTCTTGGAACCCCTTGGGGGTCTCTTGGGCCCCCCCCCTCCTCCAAAGCGCCGGAAAAAGCGGAGCATGGCGCCCCCCCCCCCCCTATCTTCCACTCCCCCGGAGCGGCCCCGGGGTTCGCCGGAAACTCGCACCCCCCCCCCCCCCCCCACCCCCCCTTCCCCGGCAGAGCCACCCCGGCGACCCCCCCAGAGGCTGAAGCTCAGCCTCGAGGCTGTAGCTGAGACTCCTTGAAACTCACACGCCGGATCGGCGGATTTGTTTCCTCCTTGTTGGGGTGCAACGCCCCGTCTCAGAATCCAGCGGCATAGGACGAGTTTCCCAAAGCGAATCGCGCGGTGGCGCAGTCGATGCAGGGTGCCAGTGGATTCCCCGAGGATTGCCCGTTCCAGTCCTCTGCCCCCTCTACTCGTCCCCCCCGCCTCGTTTCCCCCTCCCCACGTCCCTCCCCACGCGCTTCGCCCTCTCCCGCCCCCTCTTCTCCCCTCCCCGCGTCCTCTGCCCCCCCCTCGTCCTCGTCCTCTCCACGTTTTTCCTCCCTCGCCTGCACCTCCCTGCCCTCCCGCTCCTAGCACCCCCCCCCTCCGATGCGGGCAGGGGGCGTCCTGCTTTGTTGCTGCTCGCGCCGCGGGCCCCGCTGGCGCTCTCGACCCTGGCCCTCTACAGGAGGAGTATTTCAACATAGTGAAAACAACCGTCGGAGTACGATTTGTCCACCATGCTTGACCATGTTTGAGTATGATTGACTCTTTCTTATTCTTCCTCCAAACTGTCGGAGTACGATTTGTCCACTATGGTTGACTATGTTTGTGTATGTTTGACTGTCTTTGATTCTTCCGCCCACAGCAGCCTGGAGGGGGACATGCCCGACCTAGCCCTAGCCCCTGGGCCTCACACGCCGGCCGTGGGAGGTGCATGTTCCCGGATTCCCAGATCCCAGTCTGCTTTCCCCGCCCTCCTACGGGAAGGGTTGAGCGGCTTGCCCTTTTCGTCCCTCCTCTTCAGGGGGCGGGCGGACGCCCAATCTGCTTCCACCGCATTGCTGCTACATGCTTCCACCTACCTCTTCCGACCAACGGGCATCTTTGGGACCAGTTCTTCTGTCGAGACTCGCAGTTCTGTGAAGCCCTCAAAGACTGCGCGGGTGTGATCGGGCCGAGACCCCAGATTGCAGATGGGCCAGTTCTCGGCTGGCTTTTGGTTTGGGTGCGCTGGACGGGGAGACAAAACAACAGAGTACGCTGATGGTCCAGGGACCGAAGTTGGCCTCCCCCAGCCCGACACGTGGACACCACGCCCGCGCGCCCGGCGCCACTCCCCGGCGCCCAGGGGCTCCTCGCTCACCCGAACCATACAGTGGAAACCCATGCCAAGAAGCACCCTGCTTGCTTCCAGGATGCCCTGGGTTTCTCGGGCTTCGACGGTTTTGCCACGAAAAGCGTGATTTCGTATACAAAAAACTCCATGGACGGCCTGGGGGTCTCAGGGTAGGGTGTCTTCTCGATGGCCTCTTGTGGTCGAGCTCCTCTTGTAGTCCACAGAGGGCTCCCCGGGGCACGCGGGCCCCCGTCGGGCCGAGGCCGCCGGAGGGGCCGACCCTCCCAGAAGAAGACGGTACCCATACCGCTACCCCTCCCTCGTGTTCGCCCTTCTGGGCCTCCTGGGAGGCCCTCATCGAAAGCGATGGATTCGCCTCGAAAGTCCTCACAGTGGCACCCTCGAGGGCGCGAAGTTATTCGCGCTTCGCGGTTCGGCTCCGATTCCTCCTCATCTTCCTCTTCTCCCTTGGGAGGCGGCGCGAGAGCGCGAAGCCATTCGCGCTTCGCGCAGCGCGAAGCGCGAAGTTGGGAGCCCTTGGTCCTGGTCCGAATGAACCCTGCGGGCGGTCGGGGGTGTGGCAGTATCGGTACCTTTTGGCATTCCGGGGCCCGACCCCCGTGAGCCCCCGCGAGCCGCCGCAGACACGAGGTCCCGTAAGAACCAGCCACACTCCACCTTAGGAGCAGGGATGAGCTCGCGGCTGGTCCGGACTCGGCTCGTGGGAAGGCGACCAACAAACAAACGACGGCGCCGCACCTGCGGCCCCTTCATGCTGCGCTACGGCTCATCGGACACGCGCAGAGGCAGAGGGGATAGAGGGGGAGGGGGGGAAGGCTTCTGATAAGCACCCCTGCTTCTCAGAAGGCGCGGGCCTTGTCAGCAGATGTGTGCCGGGCCTTTCTGAGAAGCAGCCTCCTCCTAGGGAGGCTTCCCCCGTCTCCCTACCCCCTCCCCTCTGCGCGCCGCCAAGCTGAGCCCCGTGGGGCCGTGGGACCACGTGGCCTAGCTTCGGGGAGGGGGAGGAGGAGGAGGAGGAGGAGGAGGAGGAGGAGGGGAAGAGGAGGACGACGAGGGAGGAGGAGGAGGAGGAGAGGAGGAGGAGGGAGGGAGGAGGAGGAGGAGGGAGGAGGAGGAGGAGGAGGAGGAGGAGGGAGGAGGAGGGAGGAGGAGGTGGAGGAGGAGGAGGAGGACGAGGAGGAGGAGGAGGAGGAGGAGGAGGAGGAGGAGGAGGGAGGAGGAGGTCTCGTCTCTTCTCCGGCAACAGGACGAGCGCCTGCTCGCTCGCGTGCAGGGCGCGCTCTCGTCGCGCGCGGGCGCGTCTCGCGCCCACGGGCGGTGCGGGTGTGCGCTCCTGGGCGACCGCGCGCGCGCCTACGTGGCCGCTGGCCTGCGCGCGCGCTCCCCGGGAGTCTGCTCGATCCTCGATTCTCCATCCTCGATTCTCGAGTCTCCTCGTTCCTCGATCCTCGAGTCTCCTCGATCCTCGATTCCTCGATCCTCGAGTTTCCTCGCATCTCGAGGCCCGATCGTTGGCTTGTGCGCGCGCTCCCAGGATTCTCTCGTCGCTCGTCGATCCCCGAGTCTCCTCGATCCTCGAGCCTCGAGGTCCCTCGCATCTCGAGGCCCAATCTAGAAGAAGGAACAACGGCATAACTATGAACTGTTGGCGCTCCGCGCGGATCTCTTGGGTCTGCGCTGGACCCCCCTCCCTGGCTCGCGGAGCGCGCCACGCGCGGCACCGGTGGCGCCGCCCGGGGGGCCCAGGGCTGATCCAAGAACTCCGCGCGCAGCGTCCAGAGTTCACGCTGCTGCCGTTTTTGCTCTTCTTCGATCCCTGGCTTCCCGGACGTATCGATGTTGCAGCACGCGCGGCCAGGCCCCCTCGCAGTCCGAGGTCGACGTGGTCCTGGCGTGCGGCCTGGTGTGGATGCCGCGCGCCCAGGCGGTGCCCCACGGGATCACGGTGATTCGTTTCTGCGCTCTCCTGCGCAGAGGGGGGCAGGGGGAGGGGGGAGTGCGTCTTAGAAGCATCCCCGCTTTTAGAAGGCTCGGGCCTCGTCTGTAGATGTACGGCCTGCGCCTTCTAAGAAGCCGCCTCCATCTAAGAAGCCTTCCCCCCTCCCCCCACCCCCTTCCCCCTTGTGCTCGCCGCCAACTGGTGCCTTCTGAGACGGCCTCAGTGGCCTCGGACTGGGTCTAGAATGCTTCTCGGAGGGCGGGATGGCCTCTCAGAGGACCCCCCCGCCCTCCGATTGGGCCGTCTCATTCTCAGAGAAGCATCTGGGCTTCAAGATGGTCCAAGAGGGCAAGGGGTCGCTGAAAGATCGGTCCAAGACGCCCCCAGATGGCCTCCAGGCGGCCCAAGCAGTCCACGCCTCAAGGTGCGTTCAAGCGGCCCGCGGAGAAGGCAACACTCGCCGACTTTCTTCCGGTGTTTCAAAGTTTGGGGTTCCCCCCCTTGGTCAGGCTTCCCGACGCTCTCAGACCCCCCAGAGGCCCCAGAGATCGGGGAGCCTCAGAGACCCTCAAGATAGCGCCCAGACGGCCCAAGAGGCTCCCTAAGACGGCCCAAGAAGACCCCAGGAGCGCTTCAACAAGGGCCCCGGTGGGGGAGTGCGCACACACATGGCAAGCCCCCCGCCCCAAAAACACACGCGGAAGGCCCCAACACGCCCCAAAGAAGCCTCCAAGAGGCCTCACGGAGCCCCCGAGAGGCCCCTTGGAGGCCCCTGGGAAGCTCCAGGAGGCCCTCAATGGACCCCCCAGACTGCCCCAAAGGGCCCCAATTGGCACCAGCACGGCCCCAATATTGTGCGAAGACGATCCGACGTTTCGGAAACGGCCGATCGTTCAATGTTGAGAAATCCCTGCGGTGTCAGGAACCAGCGCCAGGGTCAACACGACGCGCACATACCATACACTTTCGAAGCTCCGCGCCGATATTTTGAATCGGCGTCTGGGCCCCCCTGGCGGCGCCTCTGGCGCCACCCCTGGCGCGGTCCGCGCTTCAGGGAGGTAGGTTCAGCGCCGATCCTCGAAATCTGTGAGGACATCGGACAATTTCTGTTTACGGCGTTCCCTGCTCTTCTAATTCTTCACGCTTCGAATATCCCTACTCTTTCCGCTGGAATCCGCGGCAATCTCGCGCCAATTACTGACGTACCGCGCCCCGGACGTTGTGCTCGCTCCTTGTCTCTCGCCTCGGAGCCGCGGACCAAAAAGTATCCCTACCCTCCTTGTCCAGACCCGGGTCCTCCACGTGGTGTCGGTGCTCACTTGTCGCCACTTCTGGTGTACTGACTATGGGCTCGTGACCCTTTTCAGGATTCTTGGTGTGCGACTTCGTTGGCGCCACTTCATGCACTTGTTCGTGGTGACCCGCGCCATTTTGGCCGCGCAGCAGCTTGGCTGCTTCTCGTACTCGAGCGTTCTGCTGCCGTCGGGCTTTGCGGCTTCGGCCACCCTGGTTCCTCGCAGCCTGCCAACGCTCACGCCCACACCAGGCACCAATTCGACCTCCGACTGTCGGTCCTCTTGGCTGCGGCCACCCTGGTACTCTCGCAGTTGTCCGGGGTCTTGCGCCCTTGTATTAATTAGTCGGCTTCTGTCCCTGGTCGTCGTTCTTCTCGAGCTACCTGACGTTTCCGACGCCTTGCATACCTGCACGCTGGCAGTACGACTCAGTTTCGGCCTGCCCCCTCCACTCGCCGGTCCGCCGCTGAGGTGTTGCGTGAAGCTCCGCCTTGCCCTTTAGGTGCGGCTGCGCCCCGTTGCTTTAGGTGAATTTGTCGCTGCGTGCCCCGCTTTGACTGGACTCGCCGCTGGCGCGCTTGCCTGCGGCCGCTGAGTACAAAAGTATCCCTACCAGCCCATGTAGAAACCCTGCCCACGAGAGCTGGCGGGAAAAGGATCGAGGAGACACATCAAGGGAAACAAAGCGAACAACCAGGGTGAACCGAGAACTCCTTGGAGCAAGGGGGTGGCCTTGGAAGGCCTCTTCGGGCCATCCCGGGGTGCTGAGTGGGGGCGACGGGAAGCGGAGGAGGAGGAAGAAAAGAAGGAGGAGGACGACGGAGAGGACGAGGAGGTCGAGGACGCGGATGAGGACGAGGACGAGGAGGACGAGGACTAGGACGTTCTGCGTCTGCTAGTGCTCTCTGGCAGTTTTGGGCCCCCGCTGCCGAATCGCCGCCGCCGCAGCCGCAGCCGCTGCCGCCGCCGCCGCCGCCGCCGTCGCCGTCGCCGCCGCCGCCGCCGTCGCCGCCGCCGCGCCCGCCGCCGCCGCCGCCAGCGCCGCCGCCACCGCCGCAGCCGCCGCAGCCGCTGTCCCCGCCGCAGTCGCCTTAGCCGCCGCCGCCGCCGCCAAGTGTACTCTGTATTGTTTTTGGACACGGATGGTGGGGGGTGGCCGCATCGGGTTCGGTGCGCATGCTCCGAATTTGGAGGCAGAATGTGTTCCGTATTGTTTTTTGCCAGGGCTGGTGGGGGGGGGCCCGCGTTGTTTTTGGTTGGCTCCCATTCGCCTGGGGGAGGGGGTGTATACTAATAGGGAACAGTGATAACCCCCCCTGAAGGGGAAAATTGTTTTTGGAAGAGGAAAGAAAACGGGTCCGCACGCCAGCCACTTGGGAAATGTAAGATCCGGCAACATGGGAGCCTTGTGCACTTTCGTAGTTGCGTCTTTCAAGTGCGCTAGCGTCGATAAGCGTCGGGTAACCGATGGGATAGCGCAGATGTAGCGTCGACCTGCGTCGATCCAGCGTCGGTTTAGTGTCGACGGGCATCGGCCAGCATCGACTCGCAAGAACCAACGCGTGGGGCCGACACGACGCGAACACCCATGCAGCAAAGCCCGACTGCGCGCCACCATCGAGGAAACCGGGGATGGGCGCGGGGATCGTTCAACCTTCAAACGTAGGGTGGGGGACAACACACACACAGACACAATTAATCGTCGATTCCCCGGAAGATATGGGAAAATATGGGAAGTGGGGGGGTAGACAGAAACCCAGAAAATATGGAAACATGGCGGATCCGGTAATTTGTGTGTATTTGCTTGTGTGTCCTAGGGCCCCATCAAAACGATCGGCCGGTTCTGAAACGTTAGCCAGCGGCGCTCATCGTTGAATCAGGAGCGGAAAAGGGACGTACATGTACATGAATCCACGCTGGTTTCGAGAGTTCGCATTGCGCAAATGTTCGTATAACGCAGCCGGTCTCGCGGATCGAGGGGCCGTGTTCATGTACATAGCTGGGCGCGTACGTCCTTTGTGGGCTCCCTATTGAAAGCGGGCGGCGGGGTCGCCGCCTGTCGACACAACATGAACCTACCGTAGCAGCGTCCAACTGCGCTGGGCCAGGGGGGAGTCGGACGAGGCTAGGACTAGAATAAATCCGTTCCAGAGCTTTCCGGAACGCTCCCAGAGAACTCCGGAACGCTCTGAGAAGGCCGCGACGCCCGATGCATTTTCCAGAGCCGCCATATCTCAGAGATTGTCGATTGATCGGCTACGCGCAGAGGGGGGCAGGAGAGGGGGGACGGCTTCTTTCGAAGCACCCCTTCCAGGCGCGGACCTTGCCCTTAGGTAGAAGGCTGTTGCCTTCAAAGATCCAAGAAGCAGCCTCCTTCTAAGTAGCCGTCCACCCTCCCCTTACCCCGTTGTGCGCGCCGTCAATGTGGCCTTGCACCTCGCCCCTCTGGCGGCACCGACCTCCCCATCGGCCTCAAACCGACGGCGGGTATCCTCGAGCCCTTGGCCGGGTCCCCCTTATCCAGTCAGAGGGTGGCCCCGCCAGACGAATGTGAGGAGAAGGAGGAGGAGAGGAGGAGGAGGAGGAGAGGGAGGGAGAGGAGGAGGAGGAGGAGGAGGAGGAGGAGGAGGAGGAGGAGGAGGAGGAGGAGGAGGAGGAGGACAGCATTTGTCCCCGACCCCTGTGCTCGCCGCCAGAGGCATCACCCGAACTTCTCCTCGCCCTGGCTTCTGTCTTGCAGGGACGTCCCGGGGCTGCGCGCGCGCCGGCCGAGGTCCCCCGCCTCCGCCGCGGCCGCCGCGCGCGCCAACGCGCGGGCCCCGCTGGAGGTCCTCGCCGCCGCAGCGCGGAGGGACGGCTGCTGGGGCCGAGATCGGCGAGATCGGCGGCGGGCGAGGGGGTGTGTGCCCTGGGGTTTGGGGGCAACGATGGGGGGGGATAGGCATAGGGAGGGGGATGCAGCGACCCCCAATCGCCCACTGATCGCCGATAGGGGTCCGGTAGCCCGAGCCTGCCGAGGGAGGTGCGGATTCGCTATCGGGGGCCTGCCGCCGATCTATCGGCGACGTTTCGCCGATTCCAGGTCGATGTTTCCCCCCCTATGCCCATCCCCCCGTATCGTTGCCCATCAGGTGTGTGTGTGTGTGTGTGTGTGTTGTGGGTGTGTGTGTGTGTGTGTGTTGTATGTGTGTGTGTGTGTTGTATGTTGTGTGTTGTGTGTTGTGTGTTGTGTGTGTGTGTGTGTGTCGTGTGTCGTGTGTCGTGTGTGTGTGTGTGTGTGTGTGTGTGTCGTGTGTCGTGTGTGTGAGAGAGAGAGAGAGAGAGAGTTCGATCGGTTGTTGTACCGAACCGCCCAAATGGTTGGCGCTCCGCGGGGACTGCCTGGATAAACGCGCTGCCCCCCCCCTGCGGCGCCTCCGGCGGCGCTCCGCGCGCCTGGGAGGGGGCACGGCGCAGGTCCACGAAATCCGCGCGGCGCGGAGCGCCAAATGTTTATGTTTACGGCGTGTTTTCTTCTTCTTCTTCTGTGTTTATGATGTTCCAACTTTCTTTAGCCGTGATCACCAGAACGAATTTCGAGCGCACCCCCAAACTCGAGGGTTTTCACGTGTCGGGCCCTGGGAGACTGTTTCGACTCTCCTTCGACACTCTTTCGACATTTTTCTGGGAGCCCGAAATTATTTCTGGGATGTGGTCCTTAAGTACGATGGGAGCAGCATAATTCTATTTGTGTTCGATCGATTTTTGCACCGAGCCGCCCAAAACAAATGCCCTCCAGCCGCTGGCAGCTCCCGATCGTTGCAGATGTGTGGGGCATTCGTGGGGCAGCTGTTTTCGGCAGTTCGGTGCACCAGCGGGTCGAACTCATGCCCCTCCTCAGGGTCACCCCCATTTTGGCGGATCCTGAGAGAGGATAAAGTGAGAGGGATCGGGGAACAATTAAGCTCGAGTGCGCCGGAACTCGGGTTTGCTGACGCTGTTTGACGAGTGCGCCTTTTGTTAGGGTGGTCAATTTTTTTGTTGGATGTTTGCAGCGGGGATTCGCGTCAAATTTTCACGGGGGTTTCGTCAGGACAACCCGAGTCCCCTGAACCCGAGGTTTCCGTCTCCCCGAGAGAAGGAGACGGCTTTCTCGGAAGGCGGCGGGGCTTCTCAGAAGCCTTCGCGCCTTCTGAGAAGTTCTTTGTGTCTTCTCAGAACTTCTCAGAAGGCCGGGGAGTTTCGAGCCTTCTGAGAAGGCCCGCCCCTTCTCGCTTCCCCCCCAGGCTCGCCGCCGACAAGAGGGGCAAGGGAGGGATCCTGGTGAGAATCTCGGGCGTTGCTGGATGATTGTCGCAGGCTTTCCAGCCTCGGGATGCTCTCCAGCAGCTTCGCCTCGCCGAGATAATTCCGGGCGTGCCCGGATCGTCCCGAGCGGCCGCAAGAGGCTCGAGCGATGACCCGCAAGCTGCCAGTCTTGGGCCGATCAATGCCGCTGTCCCTTGCTGCGCTTTCGCCTGTTCGGGCCTCGCGGGGGGCCCGTCGTCGCCGCGGCTGCAGCACCAGTTCTCCTGTCGTCGTCGCCCGTCGTCGTCGTCGCTGTCGTCGCGGGAGGAGTGGTACCACTTCTTGTCGAGAGAGTCTGGGGAGTAGTGCTACCAGTTAGTCTGGGGAGTAGTGGTACCAGCAGGTCTGGGGTCGTCAAATTCTGAAGAGGTCTGGGGAGTAGTGGTACCAGAACTTCTTGATTTCCCCCATGGAGGGGCGGGGCGGGAGGATCGCAGGCGAGTCGTCTCCCCCAGGCCCCGTCGGGGACTCCTTCTCCTCCCGCTTCTCGCCTTCCTCCTCCCGCTCCCCTGTGCTCCCCCACCTCCTTCACATCCTCCCTTCCCTTCCTCCTCCCGCTCCCTCCTTCCTCTTCTCCCGCTCTCCTCCTCTTCCTCTTCCTTCTCCTCCTTCTCCTCCTGCTTCTTCGTCGTCCTCATCCTCCTCCTCCTCCTCCTCCCCCCCTCCTCTTCCTCCTCCCCCGCTCCCTCCTCCTCCTCCTCCTCCTCCACCTCCTCCTCATGTCTCATTCCTCTCCCTTCTCCTCCATCTCTCTGGTGTCCCAGCCCCGCAAGGTCCGGTGCGCCCGCAGCTGGCCTGGGGCGGGAGCCGAGCCGCCCGGCGGCGCGGCGTGGTCGCCCACCGGCGAGGACCGGAAGCGTGGCCGGGAGCGGGGGAGAGGGCGGGGGGGGCATCGGGGGCAACGATAGAGTGTCGGGGGCGGCAAAGAGGGGGGTGATGACTAGGGGGGGGGGATATCATGGCGGGGACCATGATACTTCCCCAGATTTTATGGCGCCTCTTCTTATTTCATTACGTCCCTGGCCCCCCCGCTGGGCCGCGCACATGCCGCCGGTCATGATTTGCACCCCCCCCTCTTGGACACCCCCCTCTTGGCCGCTCCCGAGAGTAGGGATGAGCAGTTCTCCTCTTCTCGGGCGATCGCAACCATGGATCAGGGGGGCTTGGATTGGCGGCGGGTCCAGCTTCCACGGGAGATCGCGGATTTCCGCCGCCGAGCGAGGCGGCGCCGGGCACATTTTGGGGAGGGCATCGCGCGCCAAGTCCATGGGCCGCCAATCCATGTCCGCGCGCCCCCGATCGTCCTCCTCTCTCCTCCATCCTCCTCCTCCTCCCCCACTTCTGCGCCGCCTCCTCCCCCTCTGGGCCCCAGGCCTCCTGGAGGGGGTCGGAGTGGAGTGGGTCGGAGGATCGCGCCTCATTGCTGATGCACTGGCGCTGCAAGGGATCATGAGGAGCAGCAGAAAAGGAGCGATCATGAGGTGAGGAGGATTTACATACGCCAGGGGAGAGCCCCAAACACTGGATGGTTTGAAACTGACTGGTACGTGTGGATATTGAGACCATAGTGGGGTCGATCGAGGGATGCATCGTGAGGACGAAGTGAGGTCGATCGTGAGACCGATGGTGAAGTCGTTTCAGTGAGGTCGAAAGTGAGATCGATCGTGAGATCGCCCGTGCGATCTTTGGTGATATCGATTGTGAGATCGACAGTGCGATCGATTGTGAGATCGATCGTGAAATCGATAGGGAGGTGTGTAACGAGATCGATGGTGATACCTATCGATAAGGAGATCGACCAGGAACCCGGGAACATGGGAACCCAGAATCCTGGGAACCCCGCCGCCCACCGAAATCGGCCCAGAACCAGCAACCGGGAACCTGGGAACCCAGAAACGGGACCTGGGAACTCCGCCGGCCACCGAAATCGGCGCGGGACTTTCGCCAAATTTTTCGATTTCCGTTCGGATCGTTCAATATCCGCTAGGACTCCTTCAGTGCAAGCACTGATTGGGGAAAAAAGAGGAGGCGGAGGGAGGAATGGGGGAGAAGGAGGGAGGGGGAGGGAGGGTAAAAAGAGGTGGATGAGAATGAAAAGGGGGGGGGAGGAGGAGTGGGAGGAGGAGGAGGAGGAGGAGGAGGAGGAGGAGGAGGAGGAGGAGGAGGAGGAGGAGGAGGAGGAGGAGGAGGAGGAGGAGGGGGGAAACCTCCTTCACTCTCCTCCTCAGTCATCCTCTGTTGGCTCCTCCTCCCTCGGCCAGATGTTCCCTCCTCCTCCTTACTCCTCCTCCACCTCCTACCACTCCTCCTCCTACTCCTCTTTCTCCATTCATTGTTCTTATACTCGACTTCCCTATCGCACCCCCGGACGGGTCGGTAGGGCTATCTTGTCGTTTGCCTGATACCACCTCACCCTTTATGCTCCTGAAGGTTGGAAGTTCAAGGTTGGAAGTTCAAAACATCCACGGAAGGAGAGGGGTCCTTTTCAGCATGTAGTTTCTATTACAGCGCCGCGCACGTCCGTGTTGAAATGTTGCAACAGTTCCACGAGTTTAGCACAGATCGTTTCATGTTCTGGCTCTCGCCGTAGCGCCGCGAACGATAGTCCTAAAACGCTGGCAGTAGCTTCACCTATGGAGCACATGTCGTCTTGAACATGCGATTGTAGCCAACAGCGCCGCGCGCATTCGTTTGAGATATTGCGGCAGCTTTGAGGATGGTGGACGGCTCCTTTGAAGAATACAGATCTCGCCCCAGCGCCGTGCAGATTTGGCTAAGGTCTAGGAAGGCCGAAGCAACGTGACTAACGGAGCAGGATTATTCACGAGCTTTGTATCTCGCCTACGCGCCGCGCACGTTAGTGTTAATCGTCTGCAGCAGTTCCGCGGGTTGGAGGGCGACTCCTTTGAAATGTGTGCAACGATGTCACTGATGACGGACAGGCGTTCTTAAAATGTTGTTGTTGCTTTAACGCCGCAATCATTCGTCGGAAACGTTCGCATCCATTCCAAGGATGAAAGGAGCTAGTTTTCCAATTGGCCACCGCCGCGCACAATTGTTCTAAACGGTTGGAACGCGGTTCAGGTTCCCTCACAATTGGCCTCTCGCCCAAGCGCCGAAAACACTCAACATTGTGTTTTTTTTCAGCGCCATGCAAATATTCCCCCCACACCTGCCATAGCATCATGGGTTCTCACCTCGCATTAAGCATACGCGTTATTGGATACCTTTGCCGGCTCGGTTGGCCAGCTGTGGGCCTGGCGCCTTGGCCCTCGACAAGTGGCGACCCTCGTGGCGCCCCTTCTGGCGGGCCGGAGGCCCTCGCCGGCTCCAGGAGCCAGCTGTGGGCTGGGCTCTCAGCCTTCGAAGAGTGGCGGCCTTCATGAGTCAGGAGGAAAAGAAACACACAGACACAATTAATCCTCGATTCCCCAGAAAATACATGAAAATATGGGAAGTGGGGGGGATGACAAAAAACCCGAAAATATGAGAAAATATGGAGAATTATTTTACTTGTGTATATTAATTTGTGTGTCCCAGGGCCCCTTCAATGAGCCTTCAATGAGGATGGTGTTCCCAAGCGGGCCGAGAGCCTCTGCCAGTTCTGTGGGCCAGCTGTGGGCCAGGCGCTGTGGCCCTCGATGAGCGGCATCTCTTCTCCTCCTCCTCCTCCTCCTCCTCCTCCTCCTCCTCCTCCTCCTCCCTCCTCCGCCCTCCTCTTTCTCCTCCTCCTCCTCCTCCTCCTCCTTCTCTTCTTCTCCTCCTCCTCCTCCTCCTCCTCCTCCTCCTCCTCCTCCTCCTCCTCCTCGCTCCTCCTCCTAACCCCCGCCCAACGTTGGCGGCAGCTGCTGCGGCCAGTGGGCTGGTCGTTTTGGCTTTCGACGAGTCGCGAACCTCACCGGAGGGCTGGAGGGCTCTGCCGGCTCTGCGGGCCAGCTCTGGGCCGGGCGTTTTGGCCGCCCCGGAAGACTGGGCGACCCTCCCAGGGATGGTGCCCTTTCTGGTGGGCGGGAGGCGGCTCTATGGGCCAGCTGTGGGCTCGGGCGCCTTGGCCTTCGAAGAGCGGTGGCCCTCACGAGGACGGTTTCTCACGTTGGCTGAGAGCCTGGGCCAGCTGTGGCTCCGTCGTTTTGGCCGTCGATGAGCGGCAACCCTCGCAGGGATGGCGCCGTGCCTGGAGGGTCGGGGGAGGGATGAGGACGACATAGAGATGAGATGTGAGAGGATGGGCGAGGGCGAGGAGGAGGAGGATGAGGAGCAGGAGCATGAGCAGGAGGAAGATGAGAGGGAGCAGGAGGAGGAGGAGGAGGAGGAGGAGGAAAAGGGGAAGGAGGAGGAGGAGGAGGAGGAGGAGGAGGAGGAGGAGGAGGAGGAGGAGTGGGAAGGGGAAGTGGTGGATGACCGTCACCGCACTTCGGCTCCGTGCCCCGGCGCCCCGCGCGCGTGCCGCTCGTGGCGTCGTCGTGTCGAAGGCCGCGGGCGGCCTTTGCCGTGGCTTCGCCCGCCGGGCGGGCCGACGTGGAGCGGAGGCACGCCCCGCGCGGAGAAAGGATACATCAGCCACGCGCAGAGGGGGGTGGGGGGAGGGGGGAAAGAAACACACAGACAAAATGAATCGTCGATTCCCCAGAAAATATTGGAAAATATGGGAGTTGGGGGGGAAGACAAAACCTTAGAAAATATAGGAAATTATGGGGAATCTGTTTATTTGTGTGTATTTATTTGTGTGTCCTGGGGCCCCTTTAGGTGGGGGGAGGGGGGAGGGCTTCTTAGAAGCACCCCCGCTTCTTAGAAGGCGCGGGCCTTACCTACAGATGTCAGAACGGCGCCTTCGAAGAAGCAGCCTCCTTCTGAGAAGCCCTCCCCCAAGAAAGCAGCCTCGTTCTAAGAAGCAGCCTCGTTCTAAGAAGCAGCCTCCTTCTAAGAAGCAGCCTCCCTCCATCCCCTTGTGCGCGCCGCCAAATACATTGGAGACCCATGCCAAAAAAACAACTTGCTTGCCTCCAGGGTGCCCTGGGTTTTCTTGGGTTTGTATTGTTTTGCGACGGAAGGCGTGGCGCTCCCACGCCAAAAGTTGATGGTCGTCCTGAGGTCGCAGGGTTGGGTTTTTTGTGGAAGGTTTCTTGTGGACTGGCCTCTTCTGTACTCCCTCGGATGATTGATCCATCCTCGTGGGTTCCAGTCCCCTTGGGTATCTTGAGCCCCCCTCACCCCGCCCCATCCCACCCCCGTGGGAACGTGCCTCCTCGCGCCTGCCTCGTCCTCCCCGATCTTCCCGCCCCCTTCCTCTGCCTTCATCCCTGATCCTTGCCTTCTCTATCTGTTATCCCTCGTTCCGACCTGCCTTCATCTTCCCTCTCATCCTCCTTTTTCCCTCGCGCCCTCGACCTTCCTTCTCTTGGCCTTTCCATTGCTATCCCCAGCCGCCCCCTCTTCCACCCTCCGCGCCGCCGCGTCATTTTGACTCAACTGGCAGTGGCGGCTGTTCACATCGGCTTGCTCCGACGCGGCCTTTACGTTGAGACTCGGCTGCGGCCCTGACCAGTGCAGCCCATCTGGCGCGAGCACTATGCGCTCGCTTCTCGGGGGCTGTGACATAGCGGGGGCGGCGCCCTCGCATGCGCGACACTTCGCGTGCATCGGAGGACCGCCTTCAGACCTTCTGATAGATGGGCGCCGTTCGGGCATTCTGCCGCAAGCATGCGTTCGCGGTCGGCGCGCCGGCGCGCTCGAGCCACGTCGGCGGTGGCTTTGGCCTTCGCGGCCCGCTTGTGCGCCGACGCGCCGCGCGGAGGACATTTGCCCGCGACTTCAACTATGTTGCTGTTTCCCATTGTGCGCTAGTTTG